AGACATACATCTGAGGAACACAGAGGGGCGCCGCCTTGGAACGGTTAGCAGCACAAGTACTGCTGGGGAGTGGTGCACCAAACCTCACTCTTAAGCCACGTGGCTTAAAATGGCATACATTGTAAAAAACACTGAGCCGTCTAGATTTAGAAAGAGTTATATATAATGTCTTCTCCTATAAGTTACCTATAATGTCAAAGTCCAATTAAGGCAATTAAAGCATACACTCTCGTATCTACATTTTCGTTTGCAATGATGGACAGGCGGGATTAAATTGACAATTGTTTTGTGACAAGACAGATGCTGATCAATGTGACCTGCAATCTCCTAAATGTATTATCATAGTGACAGTACCATCAATTATAGCACTGTATTAACATCATAAACAATATCCTTTTGTATTGAAATTTGTATTATTAGTGCCCTACACAGCTGGATTCTAATTAATTCGCTCAACCAGAAAGGAAAAATTGAATTTGTTTTTAATTTATTGTTTTTAAATTGTGATTTTTAATACGCTATTCAATGAATAAATTACTCAATCAAATTTCATATTCATATTTTGTAATTACAGTTTAATATTTTAATTCCTGACAAAGACTAATTAAGTGAGTTTTGCTTTATATTTGTGTTTAACGCTTTAGTCGGTGCTGGGGGGCATGAGAGATGTTGCAATTTTACATTATCTCTCATTAACAGATTCAGACAAACCGAGTCTCCAATTTGCAATTGTTGTTTTCAATGCCTCCAGCCTCGAGGGATAATGCTTTACCAGATATTTTAACATTTTTTATTTACTTTTTTTTACCCAAGGTCACAACCAAATACATGTTTACTAATTATGTCGATACTTGAACCCACTCAAAAATAAGCCCGTATTACATACGAGTGTAAGACGAATTTTGTTTGGCGTTGCTGGACAGTTTAATTCCTGCAATCATGATCTATTAAAATCACAAGATTAAATCAACCACATAACAGGTCTCGAATCTGAATACACGTACACCGAATACTGTTAAGATATTTTCTGAAACTCATAGCACTTTCTGCTTTGTTTTCATTTACATTATTTTAAACAAAACTATAATATAAGCTATGGCAGATTATGTGTCACATGTTTTCGCGAGCACTGAAGTACCCATTTCTTATGATTGATATTTATAAGCAATAAATAAAGATGCATTTTAATTCTATTGCTTGGAACAGTATTTTGTATATTTATTGCAACACTGGCCACTAGTCATGAATAGGACCTCTACATTTATTCAGCCAGTTGGCATCTAAACAAAACATAAATACGAGGAGTATTGTCGTAATAAATAGGCCTAAACTTACAGCTATGTTAATAATTATTATCTTGCGGTTTTTTTCTGACCGTTAAGTAATTTGGGCAATTAAGTCACACTATTAATAGTTTAAATCAAATGTCTTGAAGTTGATATATACCTGGTCCAGTTAAGGAAAATAAATAGCATCTGGCAAGGTTGCTATTGGCTGGAAGGGGTAGTTTTTTCACCAAACATTTTTTTGAAAGAAGATGACTTTTTCTATAAAGAGTTTCATTTAAAGTGTTATTTTCACGGTTTATATGAGTCTTGATAGGCAGGATAAGTTACAAGTTAGCAGAGTTTGGATATTAATAGACTGATAAACCATTGATGTTTTGCAAAATAATCATCTCATTGATTAGAATTGATTTGAATCAAATATATAGAGGTTTGATATATGTACAAGGCAAAATGAACAGGTTTATATCCAATAGATTAATTACACGTACTATTTTAGAAAAGGTATTCCTTCGAGAGCAATGTCATAACCATATATATTAAAACAGCTGAATCGGTTTAATTTATAATGCAGTAGAGATAATGAAAAATGCATGTTCTCTCACGCCCCCTAGCACCGGCTTAATTGGTATTCTTAGCACTACAAGGAAAGAACTCATTAATACGGAAGGACAATAAAAACATGACAACACTGATATATGATATGAAGGAAATTGTTTAAAGCTGCCACAAATTACTTTAACCTGCTGAAATTACTTTAACCTGTTGTTGTCTGAACAGTGAGATTTGCCGAGATCAGAGAAAAACAATTAGTTGCAAATTCATTTTAAAGATGATATCTTGATAACGTGGATTCTCTGAATGCTATGATTGTAACAACAATTTGAATTTTCCACTGTAATCTGACCCATGTGATAGACAGCAAACAAGATGCATTATCGAAATATTCGTGGAAAATAAACGCTTATTTGTTAGCACTGTCTCTGATCTATTTTAAGCAACTCTTTAACATAAGAAATAATTTGATGCTGCCTATTGAAATAAAAGAACGTTTGATGTTGAATCAAAACAATTCACTGTTAATTGCGCGTACTTTTTTAGTTTAAACGTATCTAATTGCATCAAATACATGTCAAATATTATACAAATGATGAGTATGCAATAAAAGCAAATGGGTTGGGCAACAATTTCTAGCACGTACTTATAGTGTCTTGTTACAAAAATGTATACAATTGGTTAAAATATAGGTACATGTATTGTTAATTCACCACAGTAATTGAATTAAATACCATACCACGTAATCAATCACTATGTATCCTTAAAAAATAATTAGTCATGAACTTTTGTCATTTACACTATAAACTGTAGAATTAAGACAAATGACTTTAGAAAACAATATAAGGCGTGTTTGACCTTTGACATCTCGTCAATTATAGAAAAAAGACGAGTTTGTAAAAACGCATTGCCATTATCCGTTAAATGAATACAAAGTTACGTAGTCGATTCTGAATTAAGGTCATATGAAGGGTTAGGGTCATATTTCATGAGGTCAAATTTATTTTAACGTCCAAAGGTATGTTGTGCCTAAATATAACTTACACACACAGGAAAAAGGATATTAAAAACAATACACCACGTGATCTATTTATCGATTCGGAGGCAAAGCATTAATATATAAGGTTTTAATTCAAGATAAAATAGAAAGAAAATAAAATGAAGAAAATTTTGAAAATCTTTACAATCAAGTAAATTTGCTTATACAATGCTACAATGTATACGAATAACACGTGAGGCATGCACATAAAGTTCATTATATCACACATTCAATTTACGGCATCCGTTTTAAAGACACTGACTCGAGTCATTGTGTAATAAGCGGTTTAATTATACTTCATGTGAACACGAATCTGTGTTTTTTGCATGTAAGAGAAGTGTTGTTGTGGCACTGTGACAGAAAGTGTCATTTAAAATTTTAACATCCAAAACATGGCGAGAAACTACTGGTGTATGATGTATAATATTTATAATGTTTAATTCTCACATTAATTCTCACAATGATTACGTGAAACACACCACTTGTAGACTAATAAATATTGATGAAGCATGTATTTATTTAAAAACTTGAATATATCATTGAACTATTTAACTCAGGATCCAACGCAGAGAGTTGATAAAACATAGAAAAATTTAAATTGTTTAAGTAATTCTTTGTCAACTGAATTAAACAAAGTATACTTAGAATAATTAACTGCAAGCTGTGTAATATATTATAGATCTTTAGAATATGTAGTACATTAACTTTAAAGCAATATATAATGTGTGTTATCTTGAGAGCTATTATAATATTCTTTCAATTATTAATATATATTTTTTTTTTCGTTGGTGTATGTAGAATGAAGTAATGACGGACAAAACTCATTGAAGGCGGAATATATATCAATTGATCTTTTTTACTCCTCCGATAATTGACACTTTTATTGCACATTCATACACTGATCCATATTCTGTACGATTGATTACATCAGGCGATGTAATAGAATAATAAATACCTTACACAGCCATTTTAGTAAGTATTACATGTATGTACTTTACATATTATTACAGAGACAAAAATGCAATATGCACAGATTTCCTTTTATTTATCAAATCAACTGATGAAGCTTATTAAAGCTAAACATGTTTTGATAAACTACGTTGGATTGTGTTCTTTTAATCATATGCACATTAAACACAATCATTATTTGTTTTAGATGGAACAGTACACAAATACATGTATATATCGACAAAAAGACTAAATTACTTCCATGCAAATAGCCTCCCGGTGATAATTTAGAATTTTAAAACACTATTGTCATGGAAATAGTTCCAACATATGCTAATTAACATCTTATTCTGTAGCATTGAAGCAAAGATAATTAAGGCTTGGTGTTCATTGTTATTTATCTTTAACATATTTTAACACGTGTTCTTTTCATGTTTTATTTGTTTTTTAGTGTTTATGAATCTTTTGGACAAATGGAGATGAGCTAAATGAAAACAAAGAATTCATTGATATATGTTTTGCTTTCAGACACGGAAATAAGTACACTGGTACACGTTTTGATACTGGTTTATGTAAATAGCTCATCTGTTTAAAAAAAATCTAAAATATAAATCTACAATAATCTAAAAATAAAAGTTTGCTATTTGCAAGACTGTGAAGAAATATTCTTTTAAACAATAATAACATATACTCAAGCATAATTTTAAAATATTTTGTTGTCAACAGTAATGTTGTAGTCTTTTAAAAATAGGTCTTATGTTGACCAAAATATTGCAACGAAATTCGGACAAATTAAGATAAAAGCTTAAAACATTAATTTTTATTCATATTACTCATTTATTCATATTCAACATAATTTGTTTCTTATTGTTTCCTTAACATTTCAGATAAAAATTCTAATGCATTATTCATGTAAAACTGTAAGCAACAAGACAACGTAAGGATAAAATATAATAAATAAATATTGTTACATACACAGTGATGTAACACCGTTTTTTTTTCGAAACAAATATCACAAAAAATAATGCTTATATATTTTATAAAAGCCTACGTCAGACGGTTAAAACTTTCAGCTTTATTCGATTAAATTATTTTTAATATTTAAAACAGCACCATTAAAACTTAAAATACAACGAAAAGTTAATAATATTCTAAAAAGTTAAAACACAAACCTCTTTTGTTCAAATCCTTTTTTCAACTACCGTAAAACGTAGGTTTTAACGTAACGTCATACATACGGGAGCTTCACTTGTCGTTGACGGTGATAAATGTACAGTTCCCGCGACACAAAATATGATGTTTTAATTATACTATATCACGTATTACATGGCCATTACATGTCATTAACCACCTATCGGATCATTACGAATTAATGTCAATTCGGCCATTTGGACAAATGCGTAATAATTGACATCTTATTGTTACGTTAAAATAGAAATTTGGCTTGAACCTAGATGAACTTTGATGTAGGGTTTTACAGGTTTACGATGGTTTATTAGTGTAAATTGACGTTGATAATTAGGTTATAAAAACTATAGGTTATAAAGACATCCTGGGTATTGTCAGTTAAATATAAACCTTACGAAGTTGCACCGAATAGTCTGGTGAGTACGTTTTACTATAATCAGGTCAATATAACCTTTCGAGAAAACAGTCTCAAGAGCAGTTCAAAACACTTCACACAATCCGCTAAATTACGTTAGTAAGTTATCTTTAAATTGAAATTTTACTCATAATACAAAATGTGTTTACTTTAAGAGCAAGCACGTGTACATACAAGTGGTTGCATTGTTGGACAAAAGTAATTGAATAGTGTGGTGTGTGCAAATCGAAGGTTAAGTAGAATATGTAAAATATATGCATTGTAAAAATGATATGTCAAAGATGTAATATCAAGTAATTTTAAATTACAAGTAATTTTAAAACTCAGATATACCTAGAGTTATCTTTATAAAAGACACTTGGCCGTGGTTTACGTGGTTCAACTGTTGTTTGGTACCTGTCCGGCAATACCGAAACGGGATGGCAAATTTTGAGAGACCGGTGTGTATACAATGCGGTATCATCCAGTCATATCACAAAAGATTCAAACGTCTGGATGATACAGTAAGTCTTGTTTAATTTCTATATATATGCGCATCGTTTGCCTTTTTGTCCTGCTCACTCTTTACTGTTACCTCTTACGAGTCACTAGATAAATATTATTTAAATTAGATGAACTATATTGACATTTAGATTTTCCAGTTTACTTAATTTCATTTTATATTGAAATAATTTGGTATTGACTCGGTAGTAAAGAATCGTTTCATTAAGCTTAAATCATGTATTGTATTTCTTTTTTCGCGTCAATTGTGTATATATTGTTTTTGAATGTATTATATATTAATTTTTATTGTGTTTACAAGATTTTACTTAATTAGCATTAAAATATCGAACACACGCCTAGAGTTTGTACTTCTACATACATCCTGTGTACAAGACTCTGTGACATGAATATATAAAACCGTTTTACTCCTGCGCCATCAATAGCCACAGTTTTAATGCAGCTTTAATATAATCACTAGAATGAGAAATGACACAGTTTTTGACATAAATTTTCATTTCCCTATATACATATTTAACAGATGAAAGATATTTTATTTTTCGTTGTCTAAGCGGTTTTCTTTTTTCATCATTGTACGATTACGAAACATCTTTACAAATACTTCACTGACAATTACTTATATCAATATTTTTTTTTTTTTAATAAATTAATAAACAATATACAATATGCAAATTGCAAGCAATTCATTGATACCACGTTTCTTTAGAACAAAACCTTTTACTTCATTCACTTTTCTATTTCATGAAAACAAATGCCCAGTTCAGTAAGCCTTTTCTGTTTGAACATAACCACGCCTGGCAAACTGTCGCTCCACTTCAAAATTGTGGTGTACGGTAAAACGAGCGAACGGCATTTCCGAGATAGAGCGGAAGGCCAATTTAAACGCCTAATTGTAAGTATTGTTTATGTTTTTGTCTTGTTATTTATTTAAGTTGTATCTTTTCGAAAAACGGAAAATGTAGTTCCGTGTAGGATTGATTTAGGCTTCATATGATCTGAGCTGTTACAAAAAGAAAATTATATTAAGCCCAGGAGAACTTTTCTCCCTGACGTAGCGAACGATGATTTGTAGGATATTGAACTTCCCAACCATAGAAAATGCCATACCTTCGGATTTCTTGAAAAAGTGTATTAGTAAATTATCAACCCGTAATAAGAACTTGTCCTTCGTGCAAAATAAATTACTCCTAAAGGATTTCTCTTAAATTTGTATATCAATATTTTTCGAAAGTAGTGGAGGCGAAAAGGGCGAGAGATGGAGCAAAAAGGTTCGATGTTGAGCGCAAGGCGATATCAATTTGACGTATTAGGAGAGCGTACAATGATTTTTATAAATAAAAGCTATAGAAGTTAAAATAGACATGATCAAGTGTTTAAGACCGAGATATATATACCTTTTAAAGAGAACTGATAAATTGTGATATCCTTTCAACGACTATAGCGTAATAACTGTAATCGCGAAGGTGTCACCTATGGCTGCCGTGTAGATTCCATTATTTATGTTCGAAATTTGGATGAGGCCCGACCATTGAATCATACACATTAATGCATGGCATAATACAGGATGCCACTTATTCGAGGTCAAATCATGATTTTTGACATGGTTATGTACATTTAAAAACGTGTGTTCGTGCAAATGGGACAAACAATTTACAGTAATGAATTATATGTTAGGAAAAGACCTCTATAAGCATTGTATGCTTTCGGATCTAATCCTTTTTCAGCATTGTATATTATGTAACTATTGATTGTCTGTAATATATGTTTGTTTGAAAATGTTTGAAATAAAATATGTTTAATCTAAATGCGACAAAGTCGAATATTTTTAGCTCTACCGCGAACAAATGTTTCCGAGGAGGTACGTGTAACTCGATTGTTTACGCCAAAATGTTATGTTTTTCGAAAAGTTAGAAATTCAAGGTGCAGAACAGAAACAAAATTATGCAATGCATGGAACGCATTAAATTAAATGGATCACTACTACCAAGTTCAGTTCACAATGACTGTCTGTAATTAATAGCTCTAACGTACCTGTTCTGAGCAAAACACAAATCAGTCACGTTTTCATGAATTTGAAAGGTGGGGAATCGCTATGAAAATGGTTGACAAGGTGTCAGTTGTTATAAGGATATAACACGTGTTCCAGTTATGTTTCAAGATACTTCCTCCCTTATTTAGCATTGTTGTTTAGTTTATTATTTTCCTCTCAAAGTGAGGCAGAACTCAGGCGGTGTAAGGACTAAAATTATCAATAATATAATAGACCTAGTTATAGTAGAAATTTCTATTTACACTTACAGACGAAAATAATAAACTAAATAAACAACAATGCTAAATAAGGGAGGAAGTATCTTGAAACATAACTGGAACATGTGTTTTATCCTTATAAAGACTGACACCTTGTCAACCATTTTCATAGCGATTCCCCACCTTACAAATTCATGAAAACGTGACTTATGTGTGTTTTGCACCTTGAATATCTAACTTTTCGAAAAACATTACATTTTGGCGTGAACAATCGAGTTACACGTACCTGCTCGGAACCATTTGTTCGCGGTAGAACTAAAAATGTTTGATTTTGTCAAATCAATATCGCCTTGCGCTCAACATCGAACCTTTTGCTCCATCTCTTGCCCTTTCGCTCCACTACTTTCGAAAAATATCGATTTACAAATTTAAGAAATCCTTCAGGAGTAATTTATTTTGCACGAAGGGCAAGTTCTTATTACGGGTTGATAATTTACTAATACACTTTTTCAAGAAATCCTAAGGGTATGACATTTCTATGGTTGGGAAGTTCAATATTCTACAAATCATCGTTCGCTTCGACAGGGAGAAAAGTTCTCCTGGGCTTAATATAATTTTCTTTTTGTAACAGCTCAGATCATTGGAAGCCTAAATCAATCCTACACGGAACTACATGTTCCGTTTTTCGAAAAAATACAACTTAAATGAATAACAAGACAAAAACATAAACAATACTTACAATTAGGCGTTTAAATCGGCCTTCCGCTCTATCTCGGAAATGCCGTTCGCTCGTTTTATCGTACACCACAATTTTGAAGTGGAGCGACAGTTTGCCGGGCGTGATAACACGTTATAAAACTGTTCGTGAGTTTACAGATAAACATAAAAAAATAAATCATCGTGGATTTTAACCAGCTTATAAGTGTATGTACATACAGTGCCAGTCAACAAAATGTTTATTGCCTTCATAGATGATGATTATGCAGTGCAAAAGTGTTAAGTAAGTGACTTGCATATAACATGGTAGATGTTATCAAATAATTTACCATAGGCACTGTATTTATTGGAGAGGTCATCAGACCTCTCCATAGTGTTCAGACTGATTGCTGGCGGCATCCATTTTTGCGTACCTGATTGTAGTAAATGAATGTCATTTACAGCTTAAAACCATTAGGAGCAGTCTACAAAATTTGTTTTGCGCATGCTCCGTTTCAAAATACGACTTAATTTAAACGAAAAATTGACCTTTTTGAAAACCTAGCTAAACACCGTTTTCCGGTACGTTACGGAATATCGAAGTGAACGAATCGATCGGTACAAAGAAAAATCGGAAAATATTATTTACGTTGTGGATGTTTCATTCCGTTTTAATCTTTTAAATTGTATAAATCGATTACAGTATTGTTTTCTTAATAGCGTTTTTATATCTTGTTCCGATAAATTGTACCGCTTGTACAAAGTTCTTTTTGAACTGGTATGACTAAGTAACGCAACGGGGATTTTTTGGCGCAAGTGGCACAAATTTGACACACGTTTGATTTTCTTAAAATATTGTGGTTGAAGGCATGCAGCTTTATATTCTGTTTATTCCAATCAAATGATATAAAACATTTTTATGTAAATCCTGGACTTAAAATTATCTAATTAACATACTTTATGCCCGTTTTGGAAAACGTAGAGGAAATGTTTTCATATACTTACCAAAACATAAACCGAAAATTTGCTGATTGAATTTTACAAGAAACTTTTGTTTTGATACTACTTTTAATATACATATCATTTATTTTAAATTTAGTTCCCTTTGTATAAAAAGTATCCCTAATGCGTCAAGGAAAAAAATCCATTTCTCCAGCATATAATCTTTCAAAACATTAAAAAATGAAGTGTAAACAAACTTTCATTATGATACTATATATTCAATTTATATAATAAATTATATTTTGTTAAATAATTGTAATTAATAACCATTCGTTGTGTCTTATTTCCAAATATTTTCAAATTAAACAAATCTTCCACAGCAGCAAAAAGACCTCTCGCATGCTTCTTTTTAAAGAAGCAAACTTGTATCAATCATTATTTAAAAGTAGCCTTTACGATTCGTCTTGCTGCGTAGTAATCGTCATTGCACAGGTTTCTCCATCTTTAAGAATGATTGTACATTTTAATATTTTTTCTTTTAATTTAAGATTTTATGTGCATTTGTTTGTTACGTTAGTACAGTCGAAACTGTACTAACGGTCACCTCTTATCGGCGGTCACCTGACCTAAACGGCCATTTTGTGACGCTCCCGACGAAAACCACTCTATTTTATACATCTGTTCAACGGTCACCTGCTGTCCGCGGTCAACGGTCACCTAAAATGCTTCCCAAATCTTAAAGTCGGTCATCTTAAGCGGTCAGCCAAGTGAAACGGCCAGGCAATCTTCTGCGGTCAGCCAGGTGAAACGGCCAGGCAATATTCTGTCATTTATTTTCAAAGATGACACGTGTCACGGATTAACAAAAGCTACTTGTCAGGTGCTAGATATTAACATAAAACCACAACATTTCAAGAAGTTTGCATAATTGCTCATCCGTGTCGTAATTACAAACGTTTGGAACGTCTCAACGCACTTGCAATTCGTTCTTTTGAGTTACTGTACGCTAGTTTTTTATTTTTCAATTTACCGATTTTAAGAAAAAAAGAAATAAGAAAACAATGCATTGTCGATGGCAGAAAGAAATTTAAGTTAATCCCGATTCAGATAAATTTTGTGCGTACATGGTACTTACCAAAGAAATGAAAATGAATTACATCGCCGATTGTCTAAATTCCTCAGTAATAAATTCATAAAAACACATGCTCCATGTGTGAAAATAAAATTGCAAATGAGGTCACTGTTAAATCACACCCATTAAGTTTACACACTAGATGACCTCTAAGAGGTAACTAGCGGTCTCTTCAAAGGAATCTTTGATGTTTACAAACCTGTAGCCCTGCTGTTTTAATCCGAAACATCAAAGGAAGTGCCGACACTTAGATGACGTGTACACAATATTCTATTGATCAAAAGTTAGAAAAAGAAACTGTCATACTTTTTTTGTGAAAAAAATATTACGCATTTTAAATTATTGTGCAAGAAGATATTTTTATGGGATAAATAGTTTCAATTATTGACATAATAAATCGTGAGTGCATTTGTTTATCTGTGTTACATTCATGTAAAGCTTTATATGTTGGAAGGATTGTGTACATGTTAAACCATTAAAGGCATACGTTTGTAAATGGTTAAAAAACTGATGATGATGATGATGATGATGATGAATCAGACTGGTTTATTTATACTTAAATCAGATTTATTTTACAAAGAAATGAATAATATGTTTGGATAAAAACTGGATCCTCCATTCAGCAGCCACCTGTCTTAAGCAGCCAAAATGACTGCATCCCTTGGCTGGCTGCTTAAGACAGTTTCGACTGTATTTAAGCATACATTTTAGGATTTCATGTTTGCATATTGAGGTCATGTTAACTGCGTGTCTTAGTCCAAAACATATCTAGCAACAAGAGTTCACATAGAAATAAACAATACAAATAACATATCATATCAACTAAGAAATCATCTTTCGGACCAGAAATGTTATTGCACTGATTGTTTTCACATATCAACATTACATCTAAATCATACAGGTCACGGTTCTTGTCAGAAAGCATGTTAGTAAACAGTATGCAATGAATTCATGTTATATAACTTGAGCTGAATGCTCCAGAGAAAAAATGTGATTTTTGTCGGAGCTTATGCTGGAGTACTTGCCAAATGATCTAGAAGAGTTTGTAGACTTATATCGTCTGGAAGACATATCCGGTATTTCGTCTGCTGCAATGTAGCTGTGGTTTGCAGAATTGTTGTTTCCAAGAGCTGGAACTAGTCTATCTCGCTCCCCGTTAGTACTAAGATTTCGTGGATTTCTGCAACATTTCTGTAGCATTTCAACAATATATACTCTCACTGTCTCATCAAGCAAACAAAAAAGTACAGCATTACAAAACGCCTGACCAGGATCCCCAAACGCTTGCAGGTACATAAATACATGTGAGATCATTGATCCGGGCGTCTCTGAATCCACGTGACCTAGATTCAACATGGAGCGTATTGATCCCCACATTCGGAGTATATAAAGCAAAAACCACACATAAAGGTAATTTTTGTCTTCAACACGTAAATTTTCATGTATTTCCCTTAATGTCCACCGTCTGTATTTTAAGAACTGAAAACAAAGAAACAGCTGTTTGATATATGACAAATATATTATATGACTTATTAGGGGAAGAAAAATTATTGAGCCAATTAAAGTCAAAATAAGGTGTAACGAAATCATGGATAGCATAAGTGAAATAATGTCAAAATAAGGTGTACAAATTAATGCTAGAGAGCGTGAGGTATGTTGCACTTATTCATTATTCATTATCCCCCATGTTCAGACTCAATCAAACCGAGTCTGCAATTTTCATGTAATTTTGTTGTGATAAATGCTTCCTGAGAAATCACCTTGTTTCCAGATTTTTACAGTGTTCGACAATCCGACAGACTTATAAAGCTAATAGTATTGTTCTTCTATCATATTGAAAATTCTTTAACATAAAATGCCAGTGGTTTCAGAGTACATTATTCAAACACATTTTGCTCTGTATTTAACAAGGTAATGTGTTTTTTTACTTAATATCTCAACTTATTTGTTAAACAACGGTTCTGCTTTGCTATTAAAATAATAACAACACACGGAACAGTGCATTTCGTCTTCCAATTGATTAGAATAACAAATATTACATAATCTTTGAGATGTTGTAATTCTTTTATCATTGTTTTAATGCTGAAACTTATTCTTTTTCTGTCTTGGAAGATAATAAGGTAATATGGAAAATGTCATTGCATACATATATCTATAGTGTATTGATCGAGACCAAGTTTTTAAAAATATATAGAGATTTGGCTGAGTGTAAACTTGGGTAGAATCAAAGCACTGGAAGGGCGAAGGAGTTGCTACCCTTGTATAACTAATTATATAGAGGTATAATGAAAAATGTAAAATAGTGTCATATTATTGTTGTAATGAATATTAAATGTGAAAATTGACTTGAGATAATATTTTTGAGGATTGTAACAGGGACTGGTGGGAGGGGGTCAGATAGGGGATAATATCAGATAAAAGCGTCTTATCCCTGTGGATTCAGCCACGCAAATGTGTACTAATACGTGGATTAATACTATGAGCATATTGTAAATGAATGATTCATAGATACCTTATCTACTTACCCTGTAAAATTGCGACAGGACATAAAGAGATGTTGTTATCAGGTAACATAAAAACTCCCATCCCTTTCCCGCCATAAATACCCAGAAGACGTAGTCATGTTTTGCATGTGATATCCAGCACCAAGGACCCGTGTTGACGCTTGAGTGACCGTCTCTTCCAAGCACGTGTTTTGTCATAGCAACCACTGTTATAATACCTGTACAGTAATATATAGATTGTACTTAAATGTTACTTAAATCTACCTCTAGGAATTAACCCTTAACCCACTGAAGAGTTTTTGTGTGTGTGATGAATTTGCCCTGCTTTAAAACTTAGAAATAGATCATTCAAAGTCTGATTGCAAAATTGAGCTAATAAAAACAACATGGATATGTATGCATGCTGGTTGTGCTCTATTGTGGTGCAAAATGCTTTATTTCTGCAGGTAAAGGTAATGAAGTAACAATATATGATTATTATATATGTATAGGCTTACATAATACTCATTATTATAATTGCAATTTTATACATAAATTGTAAGCGCTTAATGATTTATTGTATAAAACAATGAAATTTGGTAACTATTCAAAAATCAATGCAAATTGTACATTCTGTCATAATTAAACAAAGAATAACAATGCTCTGATTCAGTTTTTTAGACAATTTGTTTTTTGGCCGTTATATAAAATGTACATTCTTTGCCATATTGATATATTATCATTACCTGGACAAACCCAACTGACTGCATTAGCGCATATGAAATACTGCAACGATGACGTGCTATCATTTCTGTATACCACGGCGACAAATATATGAATTGCTATGGCAACGGTAAGATAAAAGGAAACAATGCTAGAGTATGTTGTAATGCCGCTTTGAATAGTGCACACACTGTCCTGAACATTTGCAAAGTGCGCTATACCCGATACGAGGTACCCTGAAAATACAAAAGATATTTCTCCAAATATTATTATCATTATTTATCCTTCAAAAATGTTTTTAAAAAACGTAAGTATGTGCAAGAGTTTGGCTGAAATTTGTGATTTTCTTGATCAAACCAAAATAGTATAAATTATATGTGTATAATTCTTTGCAACGTTTTTAAATTCATATGCTCCTTTCAAAATTTCTTTTTAATTTTATCAAGACGATTCCAATTTTATAACTAGTCCTGTTTGAGTGTGTTCGTTGAGTTTTTCTGTGTTGCTGTGTCGTGTTAGGTGTTAGAGGATGCGTTTATTGAATGCCATCCTTCCTTAATTGTTTATCTTGCTGTTTATATTTTAAGTAATTCGAAAGTCGCAGGGATGTAATTACGCAAAGTTTCAAAAAAGTGCTATCTCTGACCTTAGTAACTGGTAAGTACAATGCTGTCATACATCCTATGTTTAACAAGCAATCCTCAAAATTACCCATATTGCTTTGTATAAAAATATTATGTAAATTTTCTCAATTTGTATTGGGATAAACATAATAAACCATATAATTACCGACTGCTGATATGAAGTCTGCAACAGTAAGGCACGTGACAAGCTTCCGTGTAGAATTTCTTATTTCCGGTATCAGAAAATATGATCCAAATATAGCAAACGATCCTAATATAGAAAGACTACTACTGATCACGGAAATATACAACACCGGATCTTCATACGTAACCGGTGTAGTGTTAGTCTTGTTGCTCATTTTGCGGTTTGTCCATTTCTTTTTTCTTTTAATTTACAGTTCACAGCGGTAAAAATTAACAAATAAACTTCCTCGTTATATTAACGATATGTACACGTAAGAGTTATACCGAAACAACGTTGAAATAATAAAAAACAAAACGTTTGTACACACTTGAAACACAATATAACACATCTACATACCCGTACAGAAAGATGGTGCAAAAAGTTAATATCCAGTAGTATCACCTTGGCCTTTCCCAAAACCGTACCAATAGCTAGTTGATGTGATTTAGCGGACGTGATATAATAGATAACAAATATACTCAAAACTCGCGTGTTGAACTGATAAGTTAAAAATAAATCTGATACAGTACAGATTAAGGGCTAATCAAACAATAAGAGAGACATAATTATTATCAAATGTTAAACAATTAATGTTTCGGTAGATAGTGAATTATCACTGACTGCTTTGAAATATTCTTCCTGATTCGGAAAAAAGAAAGTTGCAATGTACAATATGCACATGGTCATATATAATCTGATAATAGAATTTGAGTAGAGATATTATAAATAGATAAGTAGATTGTTTGATGTCAAGGGAAACAACTCAAATTAAAAGTAGATATATTGTATTACTGACATAGTTATCTATCGAACTTGCGTGGTATTTAGACATACTACTCATGTTATAATTTATGATAAATATCTTCTTTACGTAGATTGTTTTGTATAAGTCTTGATATCGATATATAAAGAACACTTTTTTGCATTTTGTTTTGTAATGATCGGATAATACTTTTGAATTTTCAACTGCGTGGATTTATGACGTCGATCCTTTGAAAAAAAATCAAACTACATGCCTTCAGATGAGTAAACTTATTTTCGAAATTTCAAACTTATTGAAATATTCATAATCAGACTGACACTTATATTTATGATCCGATATATAATAACATACTATTTTTGTTACGTATTTTTACACCATTTGTAATAGATTATGGGTTTGGTTTTTGCATTTTTTTCAATTTCTTTCCTTTACACTGAAAGTGTTGGTATTAAGTGAGTGAATGTAGCTATAAACATTCTATTTTTCAGTCCTCTTGGAGCATTGACGTCTACTTCAATGAAATGTTAATGAAATGGTGACTTTAGAGATATTTCACTTTTCTTTGTCTTCCATTAAGAGATTCGATGATATAATACTGAAATCATGTTCACTTATCGATTTTGAAGAAATCTCCGATTATGCTCTCATCTTTCGCAAACTCGCCTGTCTTGTATGATCAATATAGATATATTCTATTATTCCTTCAAATTTGAAGAGTACAACATGTATACATGAAAAACAAATAAGTATAAAGCTATTGACATAATATACAGCGTACATAAACCACGTTCATGATTCCTAATAATAGACCCAACGACCGTTCTAGTAAAAATACATGCAATTGTAATATTATGAGCATAAGCTATTAGATATTTGAATTCCATAAAGTTACTCTACACAAAAGAATGCATATAACTCATAGTTGAACTTTAAGCATAGAATTAGAAAATTTGTTTAACAATTGTATTTAACAATAAATTTTAAATGGTAGTTAGTGCAAATAGCTTTGTGTTGGATATTTAACAGTAATTTATTATCGAAATTGAATAAAATATGCTTAAATTTCTCTGAGCATGAAGAGGCAAGTTTGGAAAATTGTTGTATTTTTTTAGTATACAAGTAAAGTACAAATGTACAATATAACGATATTAACATTGTCATATTAGAGTCAATAAGACACCATTCAAGAGAATTGAACAATATATATTAATGCTAGTATAGAAATATTACTATTACTTCCACTTGGTTATTGCATTTTAACTTTAAATAACTGTTTACGATTTTTGCAAATAGATTCGTGTATTTCCTTTAAAATAAAACATTATGCCTTATATAGATTCAATATCTTAAAGCCGCAAACGAAATTACTCTAAGAACTTGGTCTATATTAAGCATATTTTATGCTACCAGGTCTGCCATATTAAACGATAGCCTATGCTGATCGAATCGAAAAAAAGTATAGGCTTCTGAAATGACATAAGGTATTTGACACTTTGATAAAATTGCTAATACAATATTGTAAAAATCATGTACAAATAACCTTTAAAAGTTAGTATACTAGTATAGCATTAAAACAAATAAGTTCGTAAATATACATTACACAGTTCCAAACTTTAACACATAAAATCGGGTAAATGTATTTCTAAATATGTCATGGAGCATCTTTATGGGTGTGTACTGACGGCAAATCGATTGATTAAACGCCAACGCTATAAGCTTATCAGTCTGTCTTTCTCAAGCACACATTATTCATTCTGCATACGCATTTATCCCCATAGTTTCAAACATGTAGGCACAAAGTGATAATCGGATATCTATCACCTCATAACAAAAGTTTAGAAATGGTCAAGGATATTGAAGCACATGACGTTGCACAATGACCAACTCTGAGTGTATTGTCTAGAGACTAAGTTCTCGACGACCGATACAAGGGACATAATCCAAAGCCGCTTCTCTTATGAATATATTTCACGAGAAAAAACATGGATTCTTGACATTTGGAAGGAACTCTGGAGCTGATGGTCAAAGTTCCAAAAGGGCGTTAAGTATTTCATATTTAGCAGGCATCGATACACATCTGGTTATGACATTTAGATGGAAATCTTCTGGTCGAGGTGTACGTTTGTAACACAAGATATAGGTTGATTTTCAGAAGAAATTCTGTATACATCTGGAGGAAACCCCCATTATTTACAGATTTAGACCTTCCGGGTGTAGACCACTGTTCACAATTCTTAAGTAGTTTCTTCTAAGTTTTGAACACGCTTCTTGTTTGAATTTCTTTGCAGATAATTTTTTATCACAAGTAATCTCAAGGTGTTTGTATTCGTCAACTTCATTCAAGTAATGTGACCCTAATGTCCACACCAACCGCTGGGCGCTTGTAACTACTGTTAAACACAATGACCCTGGACTTTTCTGAATTGTAATCGTAGCGCGTTTAACATGAACATTCACTGCATATAGTTAACATAATTATGTTCAAGTCCTCATTTAGAGAAAGCAACAGGTATTATGTCATGTGCTACCGTCGGTGCACAAATGTTCATACTGTACATACAAAAACCAGCTCAACAAGTCTCAAGCTCTTTGATTAGTCCATTTATGAAGTACAAATATAATTACTGTGAGCTTTTTCTGCCTTGACGTGTGCTTTGGTGCATTGAAATCGGATTGGATACGTAACCTTAATTATTTCTGACGGTATTTGAAATTTACCTATACATTTCTTCAAAGATAAGAAACGAAGTGCTGTCGATGCCTGTTTCATGTAGTCTATATTGAAAGCTCTGATGCCATACTCGGTCAAAAGTTTGGCGTTCATCTAGAAAGCATATGTATAGCTTGATGTCTTGTTCAGTGGCGAAGTGAACACTTTCACGTACCACAAATGATAGATATCTAACTATTCTATTCTACAATGTACGTATAAATTATTCAAATATTACTTCATTAAAACGTCATTAAAACAAATGTATCCAAGGTTTATTCTCAGTTTTGTAATTCTACTGTTCACACTATTTTTAAGTGATGTAAATAAATCATAAGGATGAGGATACACACTCAGCCTAAACCATATTTGGCGTCCGCGCCGAAGCGCGGCGCCCTTATGGAATGAAATCAGATTTTGTGAAAGGGCGACAGCAACTTCTCGAGCCTTTTAGTCAGTCATAATAAAAGCCGATCATTCCGATCGGTATGAGGGTGATTGATTATTAATTAAGAATGAAATGTCGCGATATGTTACAATGAATAGCGAACTAGAGAATTTTCGCAATGCAAACATTTTCAAATGAAATAACCTTTCCCGTCAAAAAATCGCGCTCTTCGGGGTTTTTTTATTTATCATTTTGTAGTACACAGTGGGTTATCATGGTATTTTATTGTTGTACATGTATCCTAGAATGATCAGTTGATAACCTAAATATTCCGAAAATTTATTTATAGATATATCTATTTATCACTCCTATCGGTAATTACCGGTCTCTCCCGGTCTATTTTGACCGGGATTTACTAGTGACCGGCGAATAGTACCACACGTTTATTGTCCGGTCTCTCCCGGTTTTGGAGTAGATGTTTGATATCGTTACAATTAAAAAAGAACGAAACAACAACAATAGCATGTTTCATTTTATCTATATGAGATAAAAACAATAAAAATGTACAATAACTGAGAAAAATGTACATTTGTATGGAATTAATATGACATTATCAACTTTGAAACATTTTATTTAATTTGTTATCCGTGTTTAGTAAAGATGACTAGGAATTATTCAAAGTTACGAATTAGATTTTATGAATTATTCAACTGATTGATAATTTAAAAAATGGTAAAGAAAAATACAAATGTACATGTACATGGTTTAAGAATAAACAATATTATATATTGAAAGATAAACCATAATTTACTGACTTTTTCCAGTTAAGTTTTGACTTATAATCGTCGACAATTGAATTCTTAAAGTTTTTTTTTACAATTTTAATAAAAAAAAAGAGTAGTAAAAACTCAGTATTAAAAATAGCACATAAAACACAAAAAGAAAAGAAAACAATATTCATAAAATGTGTATGTTTTTTTATTAAAATTAATAGATATTACATTTATTGTATAATAAACAATTATGCTCAACATGATCAACATGGTTATATAATCAGTGTCATATTTTTACTAAGTGTGAACAGATACCTTAAGAGGGGGTCTTCACTAATAGCGATAACATAATAAGGGACAATTACAAAGGTGTGGTAAGCGTGTTGATCATGCGTTACACATATGGATTATAAATGATTGTATACATGTATATCTGTTGCTATTAAATAACCAGAACAAGTAACTATTCTAATCTCTAGTCAATGGCCAATCAAAGATCATAATGAACAATGTCTTTCGTGCCGCTCATTCATAAGTGATATACATTTTTCTGGTTGTTTTAATTAAAGAATATCTTGTCATCATATATTCTAAACTAGTTCATCTTCAACTTGCTGCATTTTCTTGTGCTTGGACGCCCTTTGATGGCTTTGCATCAATGGGCTTTTCTTGTATGCTATTGAGATAAAATGAAAAATTTTGTTTATTGTACCCAATCAGTGGGGAAATTCGAATAATGCGCCATACATTGGGGCCCTCAAGACCATCAAATTAATTTCACTATATGTTCTTATTATAAACATTAAACCTTTTGGCAATTTTACTAACTCATCAAATCAATCAAAGTCATTTGTGCTAAAAAAGTAACCAATCCCAATGTTAAAATAATTCTCCCTAAAGCTATAGTAAAAAACCCAAAGGGGTTTGGTTTTCCCCGCATTCATGTCATTTTTC